TTATCAAAGTAATTGTTGATCCCTTATTTTGGCTGCTGATCCCTTATTTTCGAGGCTGCTGGTCCCTTTTTTTCAAATCTGTAAGTTGACAGCCATGCCTGTAACTTGGCTTCTCGCAGCGAGGGAACCACCAGAAGGCCCTTGGCGCTGGACCTCAGTGTCCGGGCAGAACGATGGGGGTGGAGACACTCCTTCAGGTATACTGGACCGAGGTATGAAGGTCGACATATGATGTTGTGGTTAACACCTGTTGCTAAACTGACACTTGTACAAAAGGTCAGATAAAGGTGAAGCGTGGCAATGGAACATTTGTGGTTAAAATGTGTTATGGAAACTACCGTATTTGTATTATGATTGATGAGGGAAATAGGGGTGCTGTTACCTGTTGGGACTTTCTACACCTTCTCTGTGAGGGAGGGGGAAGAGGGACTTAGAGGCTTTACAACTTGTGTGTAACTTCTTGATCCTTGTGGTTGCTGGCTCTTCATGAGGCAGCAATCCATTTGCAAATGTATTAATAAAATCTTCCTCTTTTACCAAATTTGTCCAAGATCGTTTTTATTAAAGGCTCTCAAGGCACAAAGGTCTTGAGGACCATTTAGGCCAGGGGTAGGCAACCTAAGGCCCAGGGGCCGGATGTGGCCCAATCGCCTTCTCATCCAGCCTGTGGATGGTCCAAGAATCAGCATGTTTTTACATGAGTAGAATGCGTCCTTTTATTTAAAATGCATCTCTGGGTTATTTGTGGGGCATAGGAATTCGTTCATCCCCCCCCCAAAAAAATATATATAGTCCAGCCCTCCACATGGTCTGAGGGACTGTGGACCAGCCCACGGCTGAAAAAGGTTGCTGACCCTGATTTAGGCCCTTATTTCAGATTATTAAGACTGTTCTGCTCAGTCTCATTTCATGCTGCATGGTCCTAGTTCTAGAGAACATTTCAAGATTCATTTTACTTTGGTGTACTGCAATGTAACTGATGGAAACATAGTTCATATTTTGAGTATTACAAAACATGAGGAGTCATTAGAAGTGCCAGGATTTCCTCTCCCCTGTTCCTTCAGTGGCTTTCCCTTTGCAATTTATCACAGCAATAGAACAGATACAATTAAAAACTTGACTGGCATATTATAAAGCTCTTGCAAGTGACATATTGTCATTTCCAGCCACATTATGTAAGGCTTATCAATTAAAGGAAATTGCAGCTTTAGACAGCTCCAAATGAACCATACATTATTTTACTAAGCCTTATTAAAAGTATCTGCAAAGTCACTACTGGTTCTCTATTAGATGTCATCTTTCTATAATTCTCGGGGATTTAAAAAATAAATAAATATGCACAGTGATCCAGTTCCTTAGCTCAGCAAAACAAAAAAGTAAAGCAGTCACAGCTACTTCTAAAGACTCTGCCCTCAGACATCTGTAGCCTATTGTTTGTATTTTATTAGCCATTTATTGAAATTATATGTTCTGCACTGACATTTTAAAACATCCCATTGCTATCATTAAATCATACATATCTGGGCCAATCTGGCAATTCATCAAGTCAACTCGCAGAATTTGGAAACGTTCAAAGGAAGCTGTTGCACTGATGTAGATAATTACATATTAGCCATGGCATTGATCTGTGCATCCAGATGACTTCTGCTACCTCTAAGAAAAAGGCAACCTAATGCTCATAATTGAAAGATCAAATATGGCCTGAAGAAAAAGTAAAGGAAAGCGTTACATGTATCCTCTCTTACAGCTAAGGTACTAAAGACAATATGCTGACCATCTTATGAAACATTATTTTTTCTTTACTCCAAGGCTTCCATTGACCTTTAAGGATTGTCTTCCCATGAGCACCTAGGAAGCACCTGCAGACTGCTAGAGAGACTGTAGTTTGAAGCCGGCTTATTTTGGACCTTTTTTGGTGAATGCGAGAAGACTGGGAATGAAGGTTGTAAAAACACTGTCAAGCAAATGGGAAATAGCTGGATATTATTCTGGAGTGCATACTCTGAACATTTTAAATAATCGTTACATACATAATTGGCAGACATAATTGGATTAAGGATGATGCACAAATGAAAGCGCTGAAATGAAGATGAAGGGCCTGTTTGAGGGGCAGGGAAGAGAAGATATCCAGGGCGGGAGGCTGTGGGAAGAGGTGGAATTTCCCAGGTGGAAGAACTGGGAGGGTTCACTCTTCTGTGTGTGGAATAATTTTTGATTAAAGGGCATTGGTTCTTCTCTACTGTCTTCCCTTCCCTTCCTTATTCTTGCTTTTTCTGCTTTTCTTTTCTAGATAAGTGTGATTTTTTAAATTGTAGTTTATGTTGAAAACTTTTAATAAAAATTGATGGAAAAGAAAAGGAGAAGTGATGTAATGGTGTGGCTGGGGGGGAGATTTCAAATGACTAAGGATAGGGGAGGACTCCTGTTTGATTCTCTTTTTAATGAGAATTTGGATATACTAGAGAAAAAGCCTACTGGAAACCACTGCAGAACACTAATAACACCCTGGAAATAGATATTCTCAGTTTGGGCAATTTGAATTGCAATTCTGTTTTGTTTAGTAAGCACATTTATAATTACTTAACAAGAGGAACTATTATAGTTTTAAGTATTAAGCAAAATAATTGAAAAGTTAACCATTTTCAAATATAAGCAAAATAATCCTGATTTGTATGACTCAGCAACATTAACAGAGAAAGGAATTATAAGAATACTATACATTTTTTTTCAGATTTCAGTATGTATATGTGAACTATATTACAATGCAAGCTATGTGATCCAGCAAGAGTGAAGCACTTCTAAAGCCAATTAATTTCATTTCCAGTTGAAATCAGTTAAACTGAAGGCAGCCTGAACCCATGCTTACTTAGTGCTTAATTTCAGCTAGAATTGAAGATGGGAGAGAAATTTTATTTTGTTTGCATTTTAATTCACATTATTCAAACAAATACATGAACTGAAACCCTGAATCCTTTTGCAATCCAGTTTTTGAACCAAACAATATGTACGAACAATATGTAGCAAAAAGAGTGCATAAAATGCATATATTAGTGAAAATAACATTCAATAAAGTTTATATCAAGAAAAATGCCTTGCAAAAATGTGTTGATCACTTAACACTGAATACAAAAAAAGTGTTTATTAGGAGAAATTAGCATGAAAATGGTGGCGAATTTTCAGGAGAAAATAAAAAAAAATCACAAATTGCTTTGGAAATGTGGACAACAGATTTTAATACTGGAAAATTAAGAAACTAAGAGAAACCGAATTGACATATTTGCCCCTCCTCAGGTAGACAACACTCAATATACTGTACTCATATCCAATCCTAAGTAATATATCGTTTGACACCTTCTTTGTTTTCACAATAAGCTAATTTCTTTCCTTAGTTCAGAGAATGATATATACATTACTTGTCAAATCAATATTTAAACTCGGAATTGATTTCTCACAAAGAGACACACACAGAGTACCAGATTGAAACCAGCTGCTTCTGATTGATGTTAATGAATTGTGCTGCCCCAATAATGGTAATCCTACAAATGATAGTAACTCTAGGAATAAACTGATTTCTTTAACTATTTTCGGTAGGATAGTTTCTTGATTAAGAACCCTAACATCCCATCTAATAATGATCTCCACAGCCACCATGCTTTTATCAGTGTAAGTGCTTGCGCTTGTCAAAAAACAGCAACAGAATAATTGCCATGTTTAATGTGCAATGGGAAAACTGGGTCACTGGAATCAAGCTACAGCAAGGATTTGCGTATTACAGAATTAGAAGGTTTATTTGCAGTTGATTCAGACACCTTCTGGCATCCATCTTGGCTGTAAATCCTGGAAGACCTGCTCCCTGCCTTGCAGACCTTCCCTACTTGTCTTGCAAGAGTTGGGCCCTGACTGACTCCAGCTACAAAAAACTGAATCTGCTGAACAGACTCTGGGGCTGGGGTGTTGTTTGGAGGCTTCTGCTGTTGGGAGTTGTTTCTGATTCTGTATCTTTATTTTATAGCTTGGGATTTATGTGGGAAATTGTTCTGTTTGTATTTTTAAAATATTTATGACTACTTTCGTTATGTTGCAGTTATTTCTTTTTTTCATGTGGCAATCCGCCTCGAGCATGGTTTGAACTGTGGAAATGCAGCATATAAATAAAGTTATGTATGAATTGATGTAGTATCCAATAAACTATGAAACAGAAACAATATTGGGCTGTATGTTAACTAGAAATCTTTAAGAATACATAGTGAAATGCTGTTGGTCCCAGTCCACATGCACCAGATGACTATAATATGCACACAGTTTGAAAGAAAATTGTTGTTTCCTCTCACAGAATATGTAATGTACCTAGGTCCACATATTAGTTTGTCATGACATATTGTGCAGTCCTAAGTGGCTGAAATAAATGGTACCATTAGCTAAGTTTAATAACATTTTGAAATGAACTCACTGTTGAGGGATTTTGGCTGTCTAAAATATTTAGGTAGATTAGCAAAAAAGCAGTGTGTGAGTAGTTCGAAGTATATTAGCTGGAAAAAGTCTGTAACACTCATGTCCTCCTTGTGTGTCTGTCTTGTGTGACATCACTTCCTCTGCCAGCAGCTGTGCTGGCTGCTGGAGGCTGCCCACAGTTGTAACCAATTTCGTGCAATCTTGGGGTCATGGTTTAGGGAGCGGACCAGAGGGAAGACTTCTTTCCTGTGAAAACCAGTCACACACAGCCCTTGGCCTCAGTCAGTGCTGGAAAGCATTTCCCAAATTCCTACCTTGCTCAGCAGAGAAAATCTCAGGCATCAAGCCAGTCTATTTTCCGCAATTCTCCTTTGCCATGGAACCAATATAATATGGAGTCTTGGCTCATCCCAGACCACATCAACAAACGTGGAACATATATATATAATTATTTTTTGGTCATTTGTTTGGTCATTCTATGAATAACATCTTCATTTCAGATCATTATTTCACAATAGGTTTCACAAGGTTCATGCTAGAAATCTTACCTCTGCAAAATGGAACTGGAAAATCCCATGATGCTCCATTTCCAGGACTCATGATACATGTCAACATAGCATGGCCTTCGAGGATATAGCCGGACATGCAGCTGTACCGAATTTTATCTCCAATATTGAATCTTGTGCCATGAAGAACTCCTTTTGGTATTTCGCCAGGATTGCCGCATGTATGGCTAGGCAGCACTGATGAAGAAGAGGAATAGATTTATTAAGGTAGAATGTACAGAATAAAAACAAATAGCATTTAATTGGCTGAGACTTCATTGTGCAATAAGTATACATATACATAAGTTTTTGTTTCTCTGCTTTCACTTAGAACAAATAAATTGTTCCTTAGGATAATGAAACACTGTTCCTTAGGAAATAAACATTCAATATATCAGATAAATACAATTTTGTATAGAAATTTAGGGTGGTATCTCCGGACATCTAACTCTCAAGAAAATGCATTTAGGATTGCAGTATAAATTGTGTGAAGCAGCGTAATAGTATTCTGTTCAGCTCCTTATTTGATTTTTACTAGAAATATAGATCTGCTCCCAAGGAACTCAGAGAACCTTTCCAATGTGCCACAGGAAAGCAACACACTGTACTGATACGTAGTCTAAAAATTTCCAAAGATTTCAGTATTTATACATGGCACCAGGAACAAGTTCTGGGTATGAAAAAAACCAATAATACATTTCCTTGAAGAGTCTGAATTTTGGTAATGTTCAACTCCTTTCCAAGCAGAGGAGCCAACCTGAGCCCAGGTTATGGATGCCCAGTGTATGTGACCCCTATAGTTGGCACCCCTGTTTCCAAGGAAAGAGTAGATTCTCTAAACAACAACAGCAGCAGCATAAACGATAGCAACTGGGCAGTTACAGCAGCCCTGCAAAACTAAGCAGAGCATTAACAACCTATTTGTCCAACCAGACACAGGTTTGTAATGGGTGGGATTGGTGAAAATGAAACACATTGGACACAATACCATTGGGGACACAGATAACCACTACATAGCCACACAGAACTATGTTGATATGGTAGAACTGAAACAAATCCAAAGTGTTTCTCATCCCAGTGCAGAAGCACTGATTTCTTTCCCCCACCCCCAAACCTTACATTGCATAATTTCTAGAGTGATAAATCTGGCAGGAGGTGCTAATAATAGCTCTGAAATGGTTTACCTTAGTACTAGACACAGCCAATGATTAATCCGGCACAAATATATAATGTGTTTAACTTGTATTGAAAGCAATGAAATTTTAATCAATTGACTGAGAAAGCCAGCTCAAGTCAATGGATTTAAGGGTACTTAATTTTGGCTTCAATTGCAGCCACAGTCTGTTTGAATACTGATCCTACATTTGCCATAGCATTGAGTGTGTGTCTGAATCTTATACAGTAACTAATACCAGTAGCAGAATCTTCATTCTATGAAACCTACTTGCAAGAAATAACCATTTGGATAATCTTAGCTCTAGTGTGACACTGTTGGATGACACGTAGCTAAATCTGGTCTTACTGGAACACACAGCTTATGCCTCCTTTGCTTCAAATCAGGGATGGGGGGGGGGCTGTGACCCTCCAGATTTTGTTGGACTATAATTTCCACCATCCCTTACCATTGACAATACTGTTTGGGGCTGATACGAGGTGAGCAACACCTGGACGGCCACTTGTAGTTGCTTGGTCAATATTATTGTTTATATGGGTTTTTTAAAAATGTGTCTATACTCAGTCACTGTCTATTTCCTATATGTAACATTGCCCCCTTGGGGCATAACGTACTCCAGCTGGTTCCAACTGTTTGTTTGTTTTGCACTTTCTTCATGAGCGACGGGTATAGACATGAGATATGAACACTGGCTTGAATCACTGAAAGCATCTTCTTGTATTATCAAAGGCTCAGCCATGCAGATGCACAAGGAGAGGTGGCCCAAAACATTTTGTTGCCTGAGGCAGAGGATACAAACCAAGTGGAACCTCCTACTATCTTGGTTAAAAAAATAATAAACTGAAGAAGAAGAAGAAGAAGAAGAAGAAGAAGAAGAAGAAGAAGAAGAAGAAGAAGAGTAGTTTGGATTTGATATCCCGCCTTTCACTCCCCTTCAGGAGTCTCAAAGTGGCTAACATTCTCCTTTCCCTTCCTCCCCCACAACAAACACTCTGTGAGGTGAGTGGGGCTGAGAGACTTCAAGGAAGTGTGACTGGCCCAAGGTCACCCAGCAGCTGCAGGTGGAGGAGCGGAGACGCGAACCCGGTTTCCCAGATTACGTGACTACCGCTCTTAACCACTACACCACACTGGCTCTCAACTGCCTTTTGATGGTAGTCTAAAATTCTGAGCCAGGATGCCTCACCCATCAGCTGGCCGTATATAGAGGTGCCTCATCCTTTTGGTTGCTGCATTGCTGCTATAATATTCAAAGTGGCACTTAAGTAGGTATGACTGCAAGATAGATGAAGCTTGTAGATCTTAGGTGCACAAGTTTACTGCTGAGAAACAAAGCAAAATAGCAGTACCTGACCCCAGAGCCCAGTGGCGTAGCGTGGGGGGTGCAGGAGGGGCCGGCAGCACCGGGCGCAACATGGGGGTTAGGGTTAGGGGGCGCAAATCCATGGGTTAGGGGGCGCAAATCCACGGGTTAGGGGGCGCAAATCCACGGGTTAGGGGGCACAAATTACTTGCCTTGCCCCGGGTGCTGACAACCCACGCTACGCCACTGCCAGAGCCTTCTGCCTGCAAAACAGGTGCTATCTAGTCTTCTGTAGTAAGACTTGTGTCAGTCAGAACCCAAATAATGGGAATGGGAATGATATATAATACAGTGGTACCTCGGGTTAAGTACTTAATTCATTCCGGAGGTCCGTTCCTAACCTGAAACTGTTGTTAACCTGAAGCACCACTTTAGCTAATGGGGCCTCCTGCTGCCGCCGCACTGCTGGAGCACGATTTCTGTTCTCATCCTGAAGCAAAGTTCTTAACCTGAAGCACTATTTCTAGGTTAGCGGAGTGTGTAACGTGAAGCGTATGTAACCTGAAGCTTATGTAATCCGAGGTATCACTGTACACTACTCATGAAGGCTTGAGGAATGGCTTTCTTCAGACTGCAAGGCAGATGTGGGCAGGCAGAACAAGATTAAACAGATTTCTAGATTCAAGGTCAAGTCTGTTAGCCGCCACACTACACACTACAAGGGGGCCGAGGCTCTTTGCACCCCCCCCCATTGTTGAAGTCGAACGTACAGAGTGTGATGTCAGGACGTCACATTGGGCTCCCTCCATGTTCTTCGGAAGATGGTGCCTTAGGGTGTTAACATATATAATCACCAAACTAACCAAAATATTCTCACATTCTTTTTCATTTGGTTAGTATGCTTTTAATATAGTATTAGATTAGCTGGGGGGTTGAGGAAGGAATCCCAGCCTACCATAAAACAGAGATGCATTTTTCAAATCCTTAGATTGCAATAGAAGAGAGCAAGCAGAACTACATAACTTGAACAGCAGGAAGCTAGCAAAAGAAGCTAGCAAAAGAAAAAGAAAAGAAATGAACAAGCTCTGACCACTGAACGTCTACTGATGGAGGAGAGCATCTACACCCAGAACAACTATACTTTATCACTTTATACATGCTGTCTCCACTCCAATAACTACGAGTATAATTATAGGACAATGTCTAAAAAGAAACCTTGTTTGGGGAGGAGAAAAAATGTTTTCATGAGTTTTATTCTTCCTACAGATGCTTTCGATTACAACTCCCATCATTCCTGACCACTGGGGAGCTGTAGCCCATGACATCGTATTGGCTACCACTGGTCTATATAGTTATTGCTCGTTTAGTGCTACCCTCAGCAATTTCTTCATCTATATTTTGTAGTGCTGCTGCTTTGTGAGGATTTCCGCCTACCTTCTTCTCTGTGTCATAACTCATATCAGGGAGATAGAAAGCTTTCCTTGGATGAAATGAACCTGCTGATCAGGCATTGTTTTCTCATTTGAGATGCCTCCCAGGCCCTCGGTATCACTCTGTTACTATCTTTTCAATTTCCCAGAGACCTAAGTTAGTCATAAATGCCGGGGGAGAGCCTGAGAGAAGAATCTGCCTGCCCAATGGGAAACAATTGAGACGTATCCCTTTGTAAGTCAAAGATACAGGACAGGGCATAATGTCTTGGAAGAAAAGGCATTCTAGAAAGCTAATTTGAATTTGAACTGAGAAAAACAAAATAACAGATGCAAATTTTGTAGAACATAAGCAATCCCCTGGACAACAAGAGAAAGCCAGAAAGCCATTACTGTTTGGGTACTACTGTACAGAGTTTCAGGCAATAACATTTTAAAAAACAACAAAAAACAAACAAACAGAAAACTCAAGGGTGCTGACTTCTAATGCTCAACTTCAATTAAAATGCCTCTGATTTATTAGCTGGTTTGGATTTTAATCCAACTATCGGCAGATCCACCCCATACATTTAAGGCTCACCCAGTACACATGACTTCTCTGAAAGAAATCTGAGAACTGTGATTTATTCCGGCTGCTGGAAACTGTAGTTCTGAGTGGGGCAAACTACGTTTCCCAGGATTCTTTGGAGGAAGTCATGTGCTTTGGATGTGTTTAAAATGTATGGTGTGGATCTGCCCCCATTGGATTAAAATCCAGGAGGCATGGATTGGGTCAATTCATGCCAGAATTGACAAAGACTGAATTCCTCAAGCAACTCTTCCATACACACATCCTACCCTGCACAATGCTCCTACCATGAGATCCGACAGTAGGTGCTCACAATGAGGAAATCGGTTATAAAATTCAGGGATGGAGACGATATGCCCCTTCCCTCATTTCCTCTGTCCCACCCCCACCCCCTGTACACTTTGTCAGTGCAATCAGCTTTATGTTACCACTGTTTTACTACTTGCGATTTGTATTCATAAATCTGTTTGGGCTGGAACAGAATCGATTTGGTTATTTTACACTGTAGCTTGTTTTTATCAAACTAAATAAAGAGAAATTCATGGGGCAATAAATCAAGCTTGTCTTTTGTGATTCTTTTCCTCCCCCTCAAAAGAATAAAAAATAAAAAAATCTATAAATACTCTTTATTACTTCTCAACAGAAATGGGATGTTTTGTAAAGCACAGCAGAATTCAGAACTCCATGATATCAGCTTACCTTTGCACTCCTATCATATTACAA